GCCTCTGTGAACATCACAGATCAGGTTTTATTCTGGACTCTTCCAGGATTATTTAATCTAGACCACCTTAATGTGGTTCTCCAGCTGAAGCTGAACCTCCAGCCCAGACTCTGGTTTTCTGTAGCCTTTTCTTCCTAGGATTTGGCTCCGTTTATCTTCCCTGCACCCCCTGAAAAGAAAGCTTCCCCACAGCCTGATTATGCCACTACCATACGTCACCATTAGGCAAGGTGGGATCTCATTGTTGTGTATTGAAACGGATGAACGGGTCCTATTCTGAAGCGGTGGACCCTTTTGTCTGTTTCAATTTGCACAGGAAGCAGAACGTCTTCTTGGAAACAAAGTCCAGTGGATTATTTTTTTTTTAACTTTTTTTTTTTTTTTTTTACTATGGTCTGGACTTTATTGAAGCCTGCAGAGACGGAGGTGAGGTTTTGGGATGTTTGACATCTGTCCAGTTAAGGGAGGATTGGCTGTGATTTCCACTCCTGGGAAGATAAACAGCTGTTTCTCTTGGTAATAACCAGAAAGCTGATCCCGTCATGGTCACATGTCGCTGACGGATCGTCTTGGTTCTGCTGCATTTTCTCATCATCAGTCGGAGCTTTCTTTTTTTTTTTTTTTTTTGAAACTATTCGGAACTTCAAGTGAGGACTGTTGTTTTTGTTTTTTTTTATTCATATATTTTTTTAAACTCTGGGTAATGTGACCCTCTGCTAGGCTGTTAATTGGTGATGAAGCTTCAGATCTGCTGATTGTCGGTTTCAAATGGTCATCAGGTCTCACCATCAGGTTTTAGGAGAAAACAAAAGAGAAACGGCACAATGGCGAAGGGTTCAGTCTAACGGGAACATCTTACAGAAAGCTGCTCATTCATTAGCTGCTGGTGGAAACGGTTCAGCCCGACTCTCATTCACTAAAATCTAAGCTTACCTATACCGTCAGTGTGAAGGCGGCTGCTCTGGGTAGAGATCAGACCTGGCTGGTTGGTCTGCTATGGATGCTCCTCCTCTGCAGGAACGCATAAGGGGGAGATGGATGGATGGAGGAGGTTCACTTCAGCAGGAGAACCAGGCAGAGATACAATAGATCAGGGGTAACCAATAAAAATCAGCGGGGTCCAAATAAAGAAAGAGATTTTCAATTATAATCTCTTTAACACAGAAATAAAATTTGGTTTTTATGCATCCATGTTATACATTGAATTAATAGAAAAAATAGAACATTTTTCCATTTTAAAATCTAACAACAATCGTTAAGTTTGGTATATAGACAATTTCCTGATTCACATTTTTCATAAAACACCTGAACTGACCTTTTTTTTCTTCTTTTTTCTGTCTAAATGTTGGCAGTGGGCTTTATGCTGCCCTGCAAGGCTTTATACCTGGGTTTGAATGGAGACTAAGCCATTCTAAAGCACATATCATGGAGCTCATTCTGAGCCTGGATCCATACATCAAACATCCTCTAAATGTTCAGGGTCATCTTTGAGCACCATTTCACTTTTCTGTCACCAATTCACCACAGTTCTTCCAGCAGTCCACACTTTCTCTGCTCTCTTTTTCTCATCATCTTCTCCTTCTTTCCCATCGCCTGGTTTGCCACATGATTGCCTGCTGTGTCTAAAAGTAGCAGCAGCAGCAACCCAGAATGACAGCAGCTCATTGGATCATTTGTATCACCTGTAGCTTGGTGCCGGACGCTCTGGAAGGCTTTACCGTATTTCCAGGAGAAGAGGCACAAGTGAAGTTAGACAATGTCGTTGGACAACCTGCGGTACTATATAAATGATTTAAATCAGGTTGGGTCCGGATCCGGACTGCGGTCCGCTAATACGTGACCTCTGCTTTAGGTGGTTCTGATCCAAGCATGGCCTAGTCAAAGCCTAGACCTAAACCAAGTATTTAATCATTTTATTTTTTTAGAAATTCACGTAATCCTTCTGAGATCATTATTTTACAAATTTGATAAAAATGTTCTTAAATTTGATTAAAATGTTGTTTGGTCTCTAGAAATCAAATCCTGATTGGATACGTGAAGGTTTGATGCTTTGATATGAATGTTTCTTTTTTTTTCTTTTTTTAAACCTGTAAAGCTTTTCTGCGGTTTAAGTAAATATTGACCTCAGGGCTGCTGACCGTTCCTTAACCTCAGTTCCTGCTGATACTCTTCATTTCCACAAGTTTCAGTCTTTTAGTTCTTACTTCCTGCCAGAATGTAAGCAGGGAAAGCTGCCCTAAGACTTTTGCACAGTGTTGTTGATGCCAGACATTAGACACCAGGCTGATCAAAAAGTTGCAACGGCAGCAGAAACCCTGAACGCAGCTCTTTCCCAGTTATTCTGAGCAAACCTGTTGAACTGTATCCTGGGAATTGTTGAAAGTTCCGGTCTGCAGCCAAGATGTTTGACTGAATCAGAGCGTCTGTGGATGCAGGGAGGCTGCTGCAGTCACATGGACGCCACGGCTGCAGGGCAAAGCTCCTCACATGAGCAGCATCACCGCCGCTCTACATCCCAGATCTCCAGGAAGACGCACCGAGCGCCAGAAGATGGAGGAACCTGTAATACTGCCGGGTTGTTTGTTTTTGTTTTCCTTTTTGATGAACATTCGGCCGTTTCTCAACACGAGCTCTGCATTAATGAAACCACACGCCTTATCATGGGACTCCATGTTTTTCTTTCCCTTCACGGTCGAAGCGGATCAGACCAGAGCACAACAAGCTTCCATTTAAAGGCCGGGACACTCCTGAGACAACTGCTCATTTAGGCAATAAAAAGCACTTAGGATCAATAAAACAGCTGCTCCAGCTCATTTCATGTCTACAAGGAAAATCTTTCAGGGCATCGCGCCCAAACATCACATCTAATCAGTCAGCGAATAATCTCATAATATGTGGAGCAGAATCGTAACTCAATCAATCAATTTAACTTTATTTGTAGAGCACAGTCTCATCAAGGTCAAAGAAAAGTGACAAATGCATAATACTCCAATAAAAAAGCAGCTTTCTGCTCAGCTTGAATCAGACCTGATCGGCCTCTGACCTCCGACGCCGAGTAAAAATAATCTGTTTGGATGTGATTCAGATCCTTCGGCTCCACCTGTTCAGCACGCGGACTTTGACTTTCAGTTTCCTGTCAGATAACAGGTTGAGTAACCCGCTGCCTGGAGGCGCTTTGCGGGTTTATGTCTCAAGTTACAGAAGCTGCCGATTTCAACACTGATGTTGGTCAAATGTGGGTTTTCCTTCCTGCAGCAGCTCCAGAGAGGGCAGCTTCACACAGCAGATACAAGGATTCTGACCCGAACGTCCAATCATGAACTCAGCGTGTGACAATAACGTAAAAACATTTAAGAATTGTTCCTTTAAAACGACTCAAACATGATGTTTCATCTGTGAGAAAATTAGTTTAGAGGCTCCTAGTTTGGCTTTTTAAAACTACAATTACAAACCACAAGTTTCTGAGTATGCACTGCAAAAAAGTAGCGGTTTAAAATCCAGAAAAATAAATAAATAAAATCCTCAGAAAAGCTCCTCAAACCAGTGGAAACCATCTGTCCGAGCAGCAAGATGGATCTAAGATTTTAAATCTTGAAATAAGCATGTTGAATATTTTAAAATGAGGAAATGATGTCTAAAAGCGTGATCGACTATCCAGCGTTTATAAATATAAGGTTTTTATTTTATTTTGGTAAGAACCTGCTGGTTCTTCATCACCTTGAAACCAGCTACCGTCGGATTAAAGGCTTTTATCTTCTTCCTCTCCTGCTCATTTAAAGTCATAAGAAAATCATATTTAAATGTTAAATCATTCTGGCTTAAACATGTATATAAATGTCTTAAAATCTGTTTTTTTTTTTTATTATCTTATGCAGGCCAGTTAGTTATAAGTCAGCCTGAACACCTAAATTCGGCCAATCATATATCAACGGTCACCTGTCGATCAAATTTTTTCGGTCATAACATCTTGATTCATATGTTGCAGCTAATATACGCAACGGTTGAAATAAGAAATAAGAATCATTTCCTTTCCCATTGAGTTCCGTCCCAGTGTTCACGGGGATGGACGTCTGTGTCTTCAGCAGGCGTAGAGCTAACAGAACTGGCAGCGTTGCGAGGCAAGGGCTCAAACATGTACGGCTGGAAGCCTTCTACACCAAACCAAGCTTCTGCCGCCCTGGCGTCCTCTTCCACAACATTTCATCCTCGCTTTCCTCCTCTAAATAAAAAATGGATGACGGAGGAGACTCATCCACGACCTCCGACACTAAACTCTCCTCCTCTTGCATGTTTCCTCTGTCCATAGCGTTCCTTGACAGTGTCGTTTCTAAGTCACCAATTTAGTGCTACTTGGTCCCAATGGAATTTCCCATTGGGAACCTACTAGCACTAAGCTGCTAACTGGTTAGCAAGATGCTTGCTTGCGAACCTTCCACCACAACAATCCCGCCCCCTTGATAAACAACCAATCAAGTTCACTTTATTTACTCTTGTAAAGTCGGGCACCACTCAGGAGAATTCGGAAATGGAACGGTTGGAAGAGCTGCTTCCCTCTGACTTTAAATGGCAGAGGCAGTCTGTCTTAGATCGCAGTTCTTTCCATCAAGACTGACAATGATTGTTTTCTATTTTCGGCTACTTTAGATCGCAGATGAAATGTAAAATAATAGCAAATATAGGGAATAATATGTTGAGATTCCAAAAGAGATTTGATCCTTAAGAAACAGGTGCAATACAGTTTGTCCAAGTGGAATTGCCATATGGGGATATCATAAGAAGGGGCGGGGCCCTGAGCAGATCTGACCACCAGAGCACAAATGGTAGCTACAGTTGCTGCTGCAGTTCTTTGGGCCTGACATGTTCCTCTAAAGCAAACAAGACTCCCTAAAATAAAAATGCTTCAATAAAGCTTATTTCACTTCATGGTGTTGAATTTACTCAGGAGTGTTTCAGGTCTGCCTGATAATAATTGGTCTGCATTAGTAGGAAACGATACATCTACAGGCCGATAACCGAGTTGTTCTTATTTGTCAGTTTGGTATGTTCTTTTGCTGGTTTATTACTTTATTCAGCCGAACATGGCGCTTCTTACATCTGCTGTTGGCGTTTGAAATGTTCATACCTTTTTTTTTTTATGGAAATTTGTGGATGAGGACTGTTATTGAGTAACGGTGGATGAAAAACAGGGTTTCCGCGGGTCATTAAAAATCATTAAATGTCTTTAAATGATTACTTCATAAATTGATGCCTTAACTGGCATTAAAATTCATTAAATGTGATTATCAGTGAGATAAAAATAAAAAAGTTTATAAAAACTTTCGTCAGATATCTCAGATATAACTGGTTGCGCATAACCATCGTAAAGCCGTATGTTCGGAAAAGAAGCTGGAAATTGAGGAATTCGGGACATGGCTGCAGTCTGTCGACAGCAAAGATGACGAAGGATTTTGTCGTGTTTTTAATATATACATATATCATGGGTGCTTGTTGATGCCATTAAAATTATTTCTAATAGCATTAAAAGAGCATTAAAAAGCATTATCTTAGAGTAACTCATTACTTTATAAACCCTGTTAAAGTATCAGAAACGTCCAGAAGCATCCAGTTTAAAAAGTCAGGTTTAAAGTTTTTCAGTATATTAACTGTTTCTCTTCCTCTGCAGGCGTCCTTCCTCACAAAGAAGCTCAACATCACAGGAAAGAGGGTCAACCTGGCCATCTGGGTAAGGCGTTCTCTGACATTCTGTGGTGCTGATGTGGTGCGTTCAAGTACCCCACTGAGACCTGATCCTCTGTGTGTGCAGGACACGGCGGGTCAGGAGCGCTTCCACGCGTTAGGTCCCATCTACTACAGAGACTCCAACGGAGGCATTCTAGTCTACGACATCACAGACGAAGACTCCTTCCAGAAGGTAGCCGCTCCTTCATCGTCCCGCTGCTTCCCTTAAATGTTTGAGTTCACCTTCAGCGTTGACACACCTGGGCTGAATCCCAAACCGGCCTCTAACCACTAACCCTTAACTATATGAAGCGTCACTTGAAATAAAGTCCCACTCACAGCTGTGGGAGGCTGCTGGATTGTACATAAACAGTAATGGGACGGCCTGTTTCCTCCAACCAAAAGGGAAAGCAGCCGTTCCTATGGCAACACAGTGACGCCTCATATGCATGGCTCTAGCTCTGTGGCGCAGGGTGACATAACATCCAACATTTGCCCCTTTTTTGGAAAACAACCTAAACATTTGGTCTTACTCATGATTTTCTGTCATTGCGACTCAGATGCAGCAAACATTTAAATGAAGGTATTTCCTCCGTGACTAGTTGGCCAGTGCACCCACTGCCGAACTCCAGCGAGCCTGCACTGATGCAGACTGATGCAGAGGAACAGACTGGATGTAGAGAGCAGCCTGGGATCAGCTGTTTTTCACTCTGAGCTCATCAAAGCAGCTCAGCTGTCTTGATGAAAACAAATAAAACTAAATAAGTCCGTCTAACTATAATTTTTGTTCTGTATTTTGTTTGCAGTTCATCAGATTTAAATGTGATTATAAGGGAGTAACTCAGAGGAGCTCCTGTTTTGTAAATACAGGTTTATAATATGATTTTATTCTGTATTTTATTTCGATTCCTTCCTAACTTCCAGGCAACATATTTATGTTGATTTTTTATTTTTTTTATTTGACATGTAAAAAATAAAAAGCCTAAGAATTAAGTACTCGAATCAAAAGATTGTAAAAATTGTTTTGTATTTTATAATATGTTATTGTAAATTCCACTTCTGGAAAATCATCAATACTTTTGACTGTTGGGGTAAGAAAAAAGGCCGAAAGGGGAACACAAATAAAAATAAACTGGGAAACACTGCTCTACAAGAAGCAGCCAGAGCGCCCTCTGCTGGACACACCCAGAATAGTCTCAGCCTTTTAATTCTAGTTGAAGTGAAGCAGACATTTTCTGATGTTCCATTAACTAAAGAATAATTAAAGATGCTAACAACATAGAGTGCAGTTAACAGGTTTTTTTTCCTAAGGTTTAAATATATCTAAACATTAATGAGGTTTCGTTTCCTCCTTTAGAATTAACTGCAGTTTGTTTTTTTAACTGCTTGTTTCCCTGGAGCTGATCTATGCTTTTGTGTCGTTGCAGGTGAAGAACTGGGTGAAAGAGCTGAGGAAAATGTTGGGAAACGAGATTTGTTTATGTATAGTAGGTGAGTTATCACAGGAACCACAAACAAATGAGCTAAAATAAACTTCAGCTGCAGGAAACTTTTACTGAGCTGAAACGGTTCGGTGTTTCCTACAGACACGTCGAGGCTGTTATCGTCTGCATCTTCTGTCAAACTTTGGGTTTGTTGTGTTGCTGCTGTTGTCATGGCAGCTGCTTTGGTTTTATTGGGGGGGGTTCCAGTCTCTTAACTGGATTAGGATCATGCCGTCATGTGTTCAGACCAGATTATCTTCAGCTGGAGGCGGCTGACTGTTTGCTGCTCGTTCATGGAGGGGGGTTCAATTCTGTGTGACACCCAACCCACTGACCCAGCACCAGGGTTTTCCCCTCGGCTCATATTTAAAGAGCTTTCATCTGTTTCGGTTCCTCTGAGTGACCTAATGTGACGGACGAACGTGGACAGGAGCGCAACTGTAAAATGAAACCAAAATAATAAACGGGTTTAATTGTCTTCTTTAAACTAAGGCGTGTTTTGGCTCCTTGGTGCTGAGAGTTATTATTAGTTTTAAGGTTTGTCTCCTGACGGAACTTTTCGCCTTTTTCTCCAGCTCAGGTTGATGGAGAACATCTGTAAACACCAGTTTTCAGCTCCTGCTGTGATTATTTTGGTTTAATTTAAGTCTCTGCTTTGACTGCTCTGCAAAAATTAAAATAAAATAAGGCAATTTCATTGAAATAAGTGATTTCCCTTGATTTAACAAGGTAAGTTAGACAATTTACCCAAAGAATCTGATTATGTAGGTTTAAATTTAGAAAAATTACTAGGTCCATTATCTTATTTTAAGGGCAAAGTCACTTTGTTGGCAGATCATCTTATTTAGCAGCTCAAATTAAGGGCAAATAAACAGATTTTAGAAAAACTGGTGTTTAGTTTTAGTTGAGTTGTGCAGTTGTCGCCGTTCCAGCACCAGAATCAGATTTGATCTGAACTTTTCACTTACTGGATGTTTAGGTTGGAAAGCTGCTCTTTAAACCCAGGCATAAAAATAAAATATAAACATGCTACATTCTCTCATTTAACTCTTTAACATGTGGATTGTTTGTGTCTCTGCAGGTAATAAAATAGATTTGGACAAAGACAGACACGTCTCGGTGGAAGAAGCTGAGAGGTGAGAACCAACTCGATGCTGCTGCAGCCAGGCGGCGCCAGCGAGTCTCTCCCTGCTGACCTCTATCTTCTGTTTCTGTGCAGCTATGCAGAGTCGGTGGGAGCCAAACATTACCACACGTCAGCCAAGCTAAATAAGGGCATCGAGGAGCTGTTCCTGGATCTGTGCAAACGTAAGAGTCAAGCCTCATCCTGCTGCAGTCAGACCTCTCAGCTTTCTCATGTTCATACCCAGCAGAATGATGCAGAAAAGGCTCCACCTTAACTATTCAGACTGAAGGTTTTTCCTTCAAACTTGGGTTTTTAAGAAAATAGCTGCTCACCAATTAACCCCTTTATTTGAGGGTTAAATCCATGTGTGTGATGTGGCAAAACTCTAAAGTCCAAGGTAGTGATGTCACGAGATGAGCCAAGGCTTCAAGGCGTGTATTGAGTACTGGTGGGGGGCGCGTTTCAAGGCTTGCTTCATTTGGTGGAGGAGCCAAAATGGGTGACGTCCGAGGCCTCGCTATCCCGCCATTCCACATGACCGCTTCGGGAAGTGGTTCAGCTCGCCCGGAAGTTCGGCAGGCATTTAAACAGCCTCACCACTCAGTCAAGATGAGGGAGTTTGTAGGAGCGCTGCTGTCAGCTGGATAGAGTTTGGGTAGATTCTAAGAATAGATTGGTTGGAAAAACAACCAATCTAGTTGGTTAAAGCATTTTTGGTTTGATCAAAATATGAGCAAGCAACTGGTTACAGTTCTAATATTTGTTTTAAGCAGTTACTCTTTTAAGTGTCATAAACTGTAAGACGTTGACTTCCAATCCTAAGGTTTGTGTTACGAAGCCCCACCTCAGACTTTTGAAAGTTGTGCAAAAAGTTAAGTATTTTTGGCTAATGTTACTAATTTGTATTGTTTAGTGCAAATATAGATTGGGTAAAAACTCTGCCAAATTAGATTGGTTGGTTTAACCAAAAGATTGTTTGAACACATAACTTCCAACCAGATTAAAACCGAAAAGTTATGTTTGAATAAAAATTATATCTTAAATATCTTTCATTTTGCTCATCATTGCCCACTTTGAACACACACTTTCACTCTCTGCTTGAGCTTATTTCATTCAAATAGCAGAAAAACAGTTTACCTTAAACAATTTTTCTCCTCTAAGACGTTTTACACACAAAAAGCTTCATGAATTATTGAAGCAATTTGGCCAAATGGCTCAATGCCTCATGAGGCTTCATCTCACCACAAAGCAGACCTCTTGTTGCTTTGATCGTTTTTTGTTCCTATCTTTTCTTTTTTGAAATTGCAGCGAGAGGTTTGGTTCAGCTGCTGCTTCCTTCACATCTTCACTCACCCTCTAAAGAAGCCGGGAAATGTCTGATTTCTGCTTTTTAAAATTTTTTTTCTCATCAGGGATGATGGAGACGGCTCAGGCGGAGGAGAGAGCGAAGGGAAACGGAGCCAGCCAATCAGCATCGAGTAGGCGGGGCGTGCAGATTGTGGACGACGAGCCGCAGGCCACGCCGGCCGGAGGATGCTGCTCTTCTGGCTAACACACACCCATCCACACATAACCAACACGTTTATCCGTCTGTCATCCAGTTCGTCCGCTCGATAAATAACCTCTGCCGCTGAGGATCATGGGAAATCATATTCAAGTTTGTTTCGTCTGTGTTAGCGCCAAAATAAAAGCCCCTCTGATTTATCCAGGTGTGCTTCTGTAGCAGGTTGATCTCTGTAACGAGCAGCTGCTGTCACATTCAACATGGCCGCTCCTGGTTTGGGTTGTTTTTTTTTTTTGTTTTGGGGGTGAAGCTGCTGTACTGACCTTCATTAACCTTCATCTGGGAATGAAAACATGGTAAAGAGGCAACGGCTCCACCTGCTGGACGGATGTGATTTAAACCTCAAAGGAGATCTCAGAGTTTTTATTTCAACCGGCAGACACACCCTCAATGTTGAAGCAGTCAGGAATTGTATGTCGGTGGTGTTAGCAGGCGGCTAAGGAGCTACTGATTATCCGTAGCAGCTGGGTTCTCTCTGTTAAATGAAAGGAGAGCTCTGATTTCATCCTTTAATGTCATTTATGGAATTAAAATCTAATCCTCCAGGCTTCTAGTCTGTGGAATAACTCCATCCCTAACCAGGAAATTCACCTTTTATCAGATTTTAAACGGGCTGAAAAATCCGTTCTAGTCGGACAGACGGAGGAGATCCAGCTTCGTTAAAAATAACGGTGACTGATTTTGCTCCATTGGGGGAGGGGTTTAACTTTAAAAGATGAAAACTTGGATGGAAATGATGAGCAGTTTTCAGATATTTTGATTATTCTTAAAAGATGTAAAAAAAAAAAAAAGATGTATTTGTTTAAAGGTGTTTGGTCTGCGATGATTGTAGCAGAAAAATTCATTTAAATCTGTAAATGTTTGCGTTGTTCTCGCATTACTCTGTTTTATGTTTGATTTATTTTGTGTAACTTGGATTTTGGAGAAAATTAAACATTTAAACATATTTTCTTTCTGTGAGTCTAAAAACATGAAATCAAACGAGAGCCGCAGCTTTTTGATTCTAGCTCTAAAACAGGCCCGAAGATGTCGGATTCCTCCCAGATTTAAAGTATTTTTTTACATTTAAAGGAGAAAAAAAATAACAAAAAAGGGGAAACTGTGGATAAAGGAAGCTGAAACAAACAACATGCATTCATGTCTAAGTATGTGTATTGTGTTGCTGATGTGCCATTATTAATGATTGTAGGAGGAGGATTCTCCCCACTTGGCTCTGCTCCTCTTCATCGCTTTAACCTTTGATTTTGTAACTTCTTGACTTTGAAGTTAAACCCTGCATGTCTGATTCCTGTAAACTGCTTTGTTTGTCTCACTTTTAAACAAAATAAAATAAGTTATTTTACAGTGATGGGAATCTGTGCGAGTCTCTGTGCTCAGGCAACTTGAAGGTCGAAGGTACAGCTGTTTCCACTAAATGGAAATCTCCTGCAGCCTGGAAAAAAACGTGGGCTCAGTGTGTATCTGATAAAAGGCCTCTAAACTAAACACACAGAAACTGATCAGAAATATTATTCATTATGGAAAACCGCTGCCGGTAGGTTCAGAACTGTGGCAGCAAGCAAAAGTCTGTGCTTGATGACTTTCTTTGCCTTTTTAGACACTTAAAGGGC